TTCATGTTCTCCGCCCCTGTTGATCGCGTGCTTCACGGCCAAGGTCACACTCCACCCTGAAGTCTCTCCCAGTGGCGCATACAGGCCCCTGTTAAAGGGGAAGGGGTCACACGCTGTCGCCCAGATAGGCGAACACAGTACACCGCTGCGCATGGTACGGCTGCGTATTACACCGCTGCGTATATCTCTCAGACGTCTGCCTTTTCTCCGACTAGAATCGTATCAACACGCCTCGCTCCCTGTGATTCTTGCCGGCGCCCCTGGCGCTCCTCGCCGCAATGGCTCTGCGCCCACCTCCGCCGGTAATCAGGTTCCCAGTTGGCCTCCTGTCAGGGAGCCGGGCCGGGGCACGCAACAGACTTCGCCGGAGCTGATCAGGCTCATTCTCTTCTCTCTCCACTCGTCGACGGTAATCGGGCATTTCCGAGGTCAGCCCGGGCCTCCACCTTGTCGCGCTGGGCTGTGCGCCGACTCCGAGCTAGACGGGGGACGAGCTGAGCTGGCGGTGCGGGACGGAGCGAGTTAGATCGTCGCGATGAATGAGAACAGCTTGCTGACATCACAGTTCTGGCGTTATAAGAGCAGCGTTATTGTTAGGACACCTGTGTGACAGGTGAACACAAGCAGCCATGTAATAAGGACATCAAATATCCCTCAATCAGGGGATGGATTCAGGGAACCGTCGGCGCTGTGATTTGGCCTTACCTCGCCCGGTGGCTTTTCCTTCCTTGCTGCCTGACATGTGCCTAATACCGACTATGGTGTGCCGCTCTCCGCACGGTCAGAAGCATCCTGAGTAGGGCAACCTGGAAATCTGCCATGTGCGGAGCTCCCCGGAAAACCTTCTGCCCTCCAATAAATATCCGGCCATTCCAGAGTATTGCGGTGCTGTTGTGACCATCTACTGATCAGCACGCGGAAAGCCTGGTTATTACTCTTTAGCGGCATGTTAGGACTCAATGCAAGCCCGAAAATGCACAAATGGGCGGGAAAGCGGATGGCAAGGTTGAACTTTCGACTTTCTTTGCCAATTTTTTTGTGATGCACTGCCATATTTTGCTTGAGCGCTTTGCATATGTGTGCTTGACCGACGTATTTAACCGTCTCGTTACAAAGAGGGATTGTTGCGTTGGAGGCGACGTCAGAGATATGCTGCGTTGATTGTTTGTTTCGGTTTTATCGCCGCGATCGATCAAAACAGAGCGATCAGACGGAATGCTCACCGGCGGTGTCACCACGCCCAGCGTGCGCAGCTGCGACGCTGCTGGCGATAACCGCTTCGCCTTTAGATCCCGCCCGTCCCCTGTCCCGCCTGGTCACCTTCAGATCCCGCCCGTCCCCTGTCCCGTCGGGTCGCCTTAGATCTCCCGCCCGCCCCTTGTCCCGCCGGGTCGCCTTAGATCCCGCCCGTCCCCTGTCCCGTCTGGTCGCCTTCAGATCCCGCCCGTCCCCTGTCCCGCCGGGTCGCCTTCAGATCCCGCCCGTCCCTTGTCCCGCCGGGTCGCCTTCAGATCCGCCTGTCCCTTGTCCCGCCGGGTCGCCTTAGATCCCGCCCGCCCCTTGTCCCGCCGGGTCGCCTTAGATCCCGCCCGTCCCCTGTCCCGTCTGGTCGCCTTCAGATCCTGCCCGTCCCCTGTCCCGCCGGGTCGCCTTCAGATCCCGCCCGTCCCCTGTCCCGTCTGGTCGCCTTCAGATCCCGCCCGTCCCCTGTCCCGCCGGGTCGCCTTCAGATCCCGCCCGTCCCCTGTCCCGTCTGGTCGCCTTCAGATCCCGCCCGTCCCCTGTCCCGCCTGATCGGTCGAGACAAATGACGGCCGGCGCGACGATGACTCAGCTGACCGCATAAGGCCTGGCTGGCTGGCGCCGGATAGGGGGCGGGGGAGGAGGGCGACTGTCTCACGTGTTCACGTACTGGACTGAGGCCCATCCATGAACATTGCACACAGTGGCTTACCGCCAGCCCAAGTGCAGTGCGACACAAATCATTGCTACCAAACTGGGACGAATGAACGCTTAAGTTGTGCTGATCAGTGCAATCTGTCAAAAGTGCATCCTAACGGTGCAAGCCGTATTGTGTGCTGAAAGTGACGCGCTTGAATTAATTTGGCGCTGCAGCGCCGTGTAAGCCGGAACTTGCATCAGTTGGAGGGTGCTCAGATCAGCCTCACCACCACGGTATTAAGATGCTTTTTACCTGCGCTGATGTGGATCTTGCGGTAACGGCTTACGACTCCCTCCACTTCGCTGCGCTGTGCTGGCGGCGCTGTAATCTCCGTGTGGGTACGGCCGGTGCGCTCGACAAAGCAAAGGGAAACTGACTTACTGCTGAGCGTCCAGGATTTTTTCCCGGCAATAAACACCAGCAGAATATGTATAAATTGTTCACCTATGGTAGAGAAAAAAACAATGAATCGTGAAGACGGGCTGGTCTGAGTTGAAATTCTGCTGTGCGCCTTCAAATGTTTCCTCTCTTAAAAATTTCATCCAAGAACAAGCAAAGCTCCTGGCGGCGTACTAGACACCAGTCCCGCATATGCGTGCATGAGTCTATCACTAACACTTTCCTGCACTCATCACTGAAGAACTTCTCTTGCCGCGCTTGCTTCAGTACCCAGTCGGGCTGCCTTTGTCCCGGGAGGCAGTGGACCTCAGTCGTCCCGGGAGGCCCGACCTTCAGTGGACCTCAGTCGTCCCGGGAGACAGCGGACCTCAGTCGTAACGGGAGACAATGGACCTCAGTCGTCCCGGGAGGCCCGACCTTCAGTGGACCTCAGTCGTCCTGGGAGACAGCGGACCTCAGTCGTAACGGGAGACAATGGACCTCAGTCGCCCCGGGAGGCCCGACCTTCAGTGGACCTCAGTCGTCCCGGGAGACAGCGGACCCCAGTCGTAACGGGAGACAATGGACCTCAGTCGTCCCGGGAGACAGCGGGCCTCAGTCGTCAGTGGACCTTAGTCGTCCCTGGAGACAGCGGGCCTCAGTCGTCAGTGGACCTTAGTCGTCCCGGGAGACAGCGGGCCTCAGTCGTCAGTGGACCTTAGTCGTCCCTGGAGACAGCGGGCCTCAGTCGTCAGTGGACCTCAGTCGTCCCTGGAGACAGCGGGCCTCAGTCGTCAGTGGACCTTAGTCGTCCCGGGAGACAGCGGACCCCAGTCGTAACGGGAGACAATGGACCTCAGTCGTCCCGGGAGACAGCGGGCCTCAGTCGTCAGTGGACCTTAGTCGTCCCGGGAGACAGCGGACCCCAGTCGTAACGGGAGACAATGAACCTCAGTCGTTCCGGGAGACAGCGGGCCTCAGTCGTCAGTGGACCTTAGTCGTCCCGGGAGACAGCGGGCCTCAGTCGTCAGTGGACCTTAGTCGTCCCGGGAGCCAGCGGGCCTCAGTCGTCAGTGGACCTTAGTCGTCCCGGGAGCCAGCGGGCCTCAGTCGTCAGTGGACCTCAGTCGTCCCTGGAGACAGCGGGCCTCAGTCGTCAGTGGACCTTAGTCGTCCCGGGAGACAGCGGGCCTCAGTCGTCAGTGGACCTTAGTCGTCCCTGGAGACAGCGGACCTCAGTCGTCAGTGGACCTTAGTCGTCCCGGGAGCCAGCGGGCCTCAGTCGTCAGTGGACCTTAGTCGTCCCGGGAGACAGCGGGCCTCAGTCGTCAGTGGACCTTAGTCGTCCCGGGAGACAGCGGACCTCAGTCGTCAGTGGACCTTAGTCGTCCCGGGAGACAGCGGGCCTCAGTCGTCAGTGGACCTTAGTCGTCCCGGGAGACAGCGGACCTCAGTCGTCAGCGGACCTTAGTCGTCCCTGGAGACAGCGGGCCTCAGTCGTCAGTGGACCTTAGTCGTCCCGGGAGACAGCGGGCCTCAGTCGTCAGTGGACCTTAGTCGTCCCGGGAGACAGCGGGCCTCAGTCGTCAGTGGACCTTAGTCGTCCCGGGAGACAGCGGGCCTCAGTCGTCAGTGGACCTTAGTCGTCCCGGGAGACAGCGGGCCTCAGTCGTCAGTGGACCTTAGTCGTCCCGGGAGACAGCGGGCCTCAGTCGTCAGTGGACCTTAGTCGTCCCGGGAGACAGCGGACCTCAGTCGTCAGCGGACCTTAGTCGTCCCTGGAGACAGCGGGCCTCAGTCGTCAGTGGACCTTAGTCGTCCCGGGAGACAGCGGACCTCAGTCGTCAGCGGACCTTAGTCGTCCCTGGAGACAGCGGGCCTCAGTCGTCAGTGGACCTTAGTCGTCCCGGGAGACAGCGGGCCTCAGTCGTCAGTGGACCTTAGTCGTCCCGGGAGACAGCGGACCTCAGTCGTCAGTGGACCTCAGTCGTCCCGGGAGACAGCGGGCCTCAGTCGTCAGTGGACCTTAGTCGTCCCGGGAGACAGCGGGCCTCAGTCGTCAGTGGACCTTAGTCGTCCCGGGAGACAGCGGGCCTCAGTCGTCAGTGGACCTTAGTCGTCCCGGGAGACAGCGGGCCTCAGTCGTCAGTGGACCTTAGTCGTCCCTGGAGACAGCGGACCTCAGTCGTCAGTGGACCTTAGTCGTCCCGGGAGACAGCGGACCCCAGTCGTCAGTGGACCTTAGTCGTCCCGGGAGACAGCGGGCCTCAGTCGTCAGTGGACCTTAGTCGTCCCTGGAGACAGCGGACCTCAGTCGTCAGTGGACCTTAGTCGTCCCGGGAGACAGCGGACCCCAGTCGTCAGTGGACCTTAGTCGTCCCGGGAGACAGCGGACCTCAGGGCGGCATCGCCTCCGGCTGTTATCTTGACTCCGACCTGATATGGTGACGCCCGTCCAACGTAACGTCTGCCTCCCGAATAGCACCGACGACGGCAGGCTTTCCTGCGCGGTATGGCGTCACACGCCATGCCTTCGCCGATTGGCTAAATAGTTCCGCAGTGGTGTGATGATGTCATGCGGACGTCATCGTCTCCTCAGCACGCTCCAAGACTGACACGCTTTCCAGCTATCCACCGGTCTGTATGACGTCATGTTGACGTCACCGCGCGCGCTCGGCAGGCTCCAGCGGCAGCGGCAAAACGTACGCGTCGATGTTGCTGTTGCGCCAGCTGTTCGACGTGGCTGGCGGCGGCCCGGAGACGGATGCCTTCAAGCACCTGGCGGCCGCCTTCACTGTGCTGAGGTCCCTCGGCAGCGCCAAGACCGCCTCCAACTCAGAGTCCAGTCGCATTGTGAGTGCCTGGTGGTGATGAGTGCAATTGCCGAGTGCATAGCGCCTTCGGCTCCGGCATGGGGACCCAGGTTCGAATCCCGGTTGCGCCATGTTCCGCGAGCACTAATGCGTTGGCCACCAGCGTAGTCTCTGGTGCTCCATAATGCGTGCGGAACCACAGGCGTCGCGTTCACTAAAGACGATTGAGTGCTTGGCGGCTGGTGCAGTAATTCTCGCGGGGTTCAGAAAGCGGTCATGAGTGACTAGGAACGGGCGTTGCGATGATGTTTTGAAGTTGGTGGTTCGGTTGGTTAGCCATGGGCCTCCGCAGGTAGGCTCACATTCCCAATGACAGTTATCGGACTCGAAGCGAAGGATGAGTACAATTGATGTTGTCGGCGGATCAGATGGTTGACTGGCACATCGGCCGAAGAAGAAAAAGTCGTCCCGGGCTGTGCTCATCTGGCAGCAATGGTCAGTTTCAGACTCAAATCTTCAAATCTTCCTCAGATAAGTCCAAGTCAAGATGCTACGTGAAGAAGATGGCGACGGTGATGCTGGTGATGCTCATAACCATGCCTTACCACAGGGTCACTTCATCGAGGTTCAAGTAACAGACGGCGCCCTGTATCGTACAAAAATCCACTGCTACTTCCTCGACCAGACCCGCGTGGTGCGGCCCCTCACCGGCGAGAAGAACTACCACATCTTCTACCAGATGCTGGCCGGCCTCAGCGCCGACGAGCGAGGTGAGAGGCCACGAGTGGGCCCTCTGCCAAGCCTGTCACATGAATGGGACGGCTTCCCACTGCCTCGTCTTCTTGACGCCGTTCATCTCCTGACTAGTGAGTTTCTCATTAGCACCGACCTGTCCGCACTCGGCGGTCCATCGTGGGCGATGTCCCGTCCCCTGACTGATGTACCCCACCGACTCTGACAAACCCATCCTGGAGTATCGTGTTGGCGCTGGTCTCTCGCCGTTGAGTGTTTCACGCTGTCGTCTCTCGTCGACATCCGCCCCCTCCCCCTCCCCCCTCTGGCCTCGTCTGTCGACACCGCTTCATCCCGCGGTCACCGACTTCGTGATCCCCTCTCGTCCGTGTCACCGCCCCTTCCCGCGGCTGCCGGCTCCGCGCTCCCCCCCCTCCCCCCCCCCCCCCCCACCTCGTCTGTCGACAACGCCCCTCTCGCGGCCGTCGGCTCCGCACCGACGCCCCTCACTCCCCCGTCGTCCGTTTGACACCCTCCCCTCCCGTGGCCGCCGGCTTTGCACTGATCCCACCCCCTCGTCCGCCGACACCGCCCCTCCCGCGGGCGCCAGCTCCACACTGATCCCACGCTCTCGTCCGCCGACACCGCCCCTCCCGCGGGCACCGGCTCCACACTGATCCCACCCCCTGGTCCGTTGGCACCGCTCCCTCCCGCGGCCGCCGCCTCTACGCTCCCGCTCGTCCATTGACACCGCTCCCTCCCGCGGCCGCCGCCTCTACGCTCCCGCTCGTACGTTGACACCGTTCACTCCCACGGCCGCCCGCTCCGCCACGTTGACGCCGCCCTTCCGCCGCCGGCAGCCAAGCTGCACCTGGAGGGCTGCACGCTCTCCAGCCTGCGCTACTTGCGCCAGGGCGACACGCGCCAGGACGACAAGGAGGACGCGCGCCGCTTCGAGGCCTGGAAGTCGTGCCTGGGTGTGCTCGGCATCCCGTTTATGGACGTGGTGCGGGTACTGGCCTCTGTCCTGCTGCTCGGCAATGTCACGTTCGCGGACGGCCCCGGCATTGAGGTGAGGAGTGGAGGGCGGAAGCGATGAGTGGTGTTTGGGAGTGAAGGTTTGGACCAGGGTGTGGGGTAGTTTAATGCGGGGGCTCTCGTTCTTGACGGCGCTAATCTCACACCCTCACACGTGAAAATTTGGCGGGTTGGCCTTGCTTTTTACAAGATTGCTCGTTTGTACGGCCGTTTGCATGTGGAATCCCAGACTAGAACCCCGTCGCCTTTGATCACGTTCGTCATGAACTCTTGTGTCCGCATCTGGTGTAAACGATTTGCTTTGATATTAAGACTGTTTACCCCTTGTGTATGTAACCGTGACTTGGCACGAAACCCGTACCATATATATTATGTTGTTACACTCCCTGTTTATCGCATTCCAAAGCTGGACAAGGGCAGAAACAGTCTCCGTGTCCCTCTAACGTCCTCGTGTTTGCCAAGTGGAAGCACGGTGTCGACAGGAACCGTGGTACGCCCTGTAACGTTTGCTGCATGTCCTTGGCAGGAGAGACTGCGACGCAAGCTCCAACCTCCCCATGACATCACAGGTCACGTGACAGACCTCCGACGACGTGCTTTCTAACGTGGCCCGTGCGCTGCAGGTGGAGGTGCAGAACCAGAAGGAGCTGCACTCGGTGGCGGCGCTGCTCGGCTTCAACGCACAGGCGCTGCAGCGCGGTCTCACCTCCCGCACCCACAACGTGCGCGGCCAGCTGGTGAAGTCACTGTGTGACGCCAACATGTCCGGGTGAGTCGCCGGTCCCTGGCGCTCGGCTCCCGAGGGACCCGCAGACCTGCGTGTGGAGGCTCCGGCTGGGCTGTGCAGGCTGGCCGTCTCGGTCACAGGACTCGGGCTTACGGGGTTCTGATTTCAGATTCCAACTCAGAGCCTGACTCTCACTCTGAGACAGGAATGCAGGCACTCAGGCAACGACTCATATGTAGTTTGAAGACCCATAAATGGGCTCAGGGACTCGCAAGCTGAAGCTCAGACTAACAGACTGAGACTCGGGAAGATTAGTTTTGGAAACTGGGACCCAGACACAAGCTAGAGACTACCCCGGGACCTGGAGACATCGGGAGATTCGAATGAGCAGTCTCAGACTTGATTTCACACATATTCAGGTCAGAGGCCATGAGCGGGGTTTTATATTGAGGCGTGCGGCTCCGGGGGGGGGGGGGGGGGGGGACGCAAAGCAGATGGATGGATCGAAGAGACACGAATGCACATTCGCGCCAGTATCATTCGCGCCAGTTTGTGTGTTCCCGGTAGCCTGTTCTCGCGCCAGTTTGTGTGTTCCCAGTAGTCTGTTCTCGCGCCAGTTTGTGTGTTCCCGGTAGCCTGTTCTCGCGACAGTTTGTGTGTTTCCGGTAGACCGTTCTCGCGCCAGTTTGTGTTGTCCCGGTAGCCTGCTCTGCGAGGCGCGCACCAGTCTTTCTGCTCTATTAGGTTGTCTTGTGCAAAAGCAACACATTCGGGCGACCTGGACCACGCATGAGAGAAGCAATGTTTGATTTCTCTGTGAGGACGTCCGTGTTCGTTAATCTTTAGTAAAGCTTACGTAACGCTGTGACAGCTGGCATCCCCCTCCTTCTGACGCGCCTCCCTCGTGGGCAGCCAGCTGACGTACCCCCCCTCCCTATGACGCGCCTCCTTCATAGATAGCCAGCTGAAGCCCCCCCCCCCCTCTGACGCGCCTCCTTCGCGGGCAGCCAGCTGACGCCCCCCCCCCCCTCTGGCGCACCTCCCACGTGGCCAGGCAGCTGAGCCTCCCCCCCCCCCTCCCTTTGACTCCCTCGTGGCCAGGCAGCTGAGTTCACCCTCTGACTCCCTCGTGGACAGCATGACGAGGGACTCGCTGGCCAAGGCCCTCTACTGCCGCACGGTGGCCACGATCGTGCGGCGCGCCAACTCGCTGAAGCGCATCGGCTCCACGTCGGGCACGCTCAGCTCGTCGGACGACTCGCACGTGCACCTGGACGCCCAGTCGGCGCACGCGTCTACCGTCGGCACGGCCGGCAGCCGCGCCAGCAAGAGCATGAGCGTGCTGAACTCGGCCGTGCGCCACGCCACCGACGGCTTTATCGGCATCCTGGACATGTTCGGCTTCGAGGATCCCAAGGTGAGGCTTTGGTGGTGCTGCGATTGGGGTTTCGAGGGCTATGCGCTTGGAGTTTCGGGGTTCTTGCGGATGGGGGCTTGGCTGCAACCAGACTGGGCTTTGGGGACGCTGAGGCTGGGCTTTGAGACCTGAGAAGGCCTAAGGAGTGAGACAGTTGGGTCTTCTAGCATTTGAGGCTTTATGTCGTCATGCTCAGTTTTCAAGCTCCGTTGGCCTGTATTTTGGACAGTGACAAATGTGTTAAGGCTGACTTGAATGGGATTTCGAGAACCCTGAGGTGGAATGTTGAGTCTCGTTGTTTGATGGCTCTGAGACCAAATGAGTCATCTGGAGTGGTGGGGTGAGGACTGCCTGCAAGACGGCGAAGGAGAGGTTGTGTTCCGGACATTGCACAGCCGAACTTCAACACAGTGAGACGAAGCTCCGTTTCATTCTTTTAAAGTTTGGCATCTCATCCCACGAATGTCGTCATTTCAATTTCAACGCACCAATGACGTCGCAGCACTCGTGCCACCATCGTCCCGTATGCCACCCGTAGCGTCATTAAATCCGCTGCGCTGACGTCACGGTCTCATGCCTGCTTCAGCCGTCGCACCTGGAACACCTGTGCATCAACCTGTGCTCGGAGACGATGCAGCACTTCTACAACACGCACATCTTCAAGTCGAGCCTGGAGTCGTGTCGTGAGGAGGGCATCACGTGCGAGGTGGAGGTGGAGTACGTCGACAATGTACCCTGCATCGACCTCATCAGCTCGCTGGTGAGTGAGCTCCGTTGGGGGTGTCTAGAGCTGGACACAGAGCCGGAAGTAAAAGTGAACTTAGAGGTGTTTCGACCGTGATGCTGCTGAATGCTAGAGTTCGGTTTCGCGATGCATGGAACGGAAATACATAGCAATCAGATGACCGATGTAGGAAATTTGATAGTAAAAATGGTTTTCTAAGAGGTTGCGTGTGTGGCTGCAACTTCAGTTGAAATCAGATTCTTATTTTATTGGTCAAGATGTTGAAATGTCGTAATAATCCGTGAAACTTTCTGTCGGCTTCCATGTTACTTGGGAAAAGTGGCAAAGTGCGCAACCTTGACCCATTCCCCTTGACCCCTGGCTCAACCCATGTGGCCATGACCTGTCCGTGACACTGTGACCCCGGCGGTGACCCCTGAAAGTGACCTGGTGACCTCCGCCAGCGCACCGGCCTGCTGTCGATGCTGGACATCGAGTGCAGCGTGCGCGGCTCGCCAGAGACCTACCTGCAGAAGGTGCGCGTGGCGCACAAGAACAACGGCCGCCTGCTGGAAGCGCGCGCCACCCAGCCCGGCTGCTTCGGCGTGCAACACTACGCTGGCACGGTGGTCTATACGGCCGCCGACTTTCTCGGTGAGCTGGCTGGCTGGTGCTCGCCAGGGGCGAGAAGGAGAGCCGTTTGGTGGAGGCGGGGCAAGTTTTGAGGAGGTGATGCTTTGGGGTCAGAGTGAATTGGAAGAAATATGCTGTTGTGGGCCTGAGCGTACCACCCAAGGCATGTAACTGCGAATATGGCTTGCCCCTGTGCTTGCCCCACTGACATTTTGTGTGTGGAATTAGGATTTTCTCGCAGTTTCAAGTTTCGTGTCAAAAGTTGCACGACGTCGCGAACTCGAGGCAGACCACGTGCACCGAGGATGTACTGCAGACGCCAGCCCTGACACGTGGCTCCTGCCCGCAGACACGAACAAGGACTGTGTGCCGGACGACCTGGTGTCTGTATTTCACAAGCAGAACTGCAGCTTCGGCTTCGCCAGCCACCTGTTCGGCTCGGAACTGAAGGCGCTCTACAGCCAGGAGACGGTGCCGCGGGGCGTCAGCTTCCGCATCAGTCCCACCAGCCACACCGACCTGTGAGCAGAGCCACACACATCGGGGCTGGGAGGCGCAGGCAGCGGGACTCCACTGGTGGAGGTGTTGAGGTGGAGTCATGCACGTGTGGTTGTCTTGAACCACAACGACGCAAAGGTTTTGGAATGGGTGAATTTGTTGTGCTGATTAGTAGTTGTGTGAATTACTTCGCACAAGCTTGATGATAAAGTGAGTCTCTTGTAATCACGTGGGAACATCTCTGCTGCTGGCTGGGAAATCAGAGCTGCAAACTCGAGCCGACCCCTGGGTTCTATTGCGTTCGCTGCCTGCTAAGCCTTCGGAAATTCTACAACAAAATGAATAAAAGGGCTCCGAAAACTTTGATAGACACGATAGATAACAGGACAGATAACAGCACGAGTGTCTGTACGATTACCTAAATAAACTGGTTGTGGTAGCTAGTCTCAGGAAGGACAGCTGCACATTAAGTAAGACCGCAGAAGTCCTTGTTATCGCTTTGACAAACAGTATGACTTGTGGGCTCCATCTGCAGTCCGCGCCATGCCTAACCTATCCATGCCTAGCCGCTGTGCAAACCGACACCGGCTGCTGTCGCCGCCAGGCAAAACGGCGACGAGCCGGTGTCGACGCTGACGCAGGACTTCCACACGCGGCTGGACAACCTGCTGAGGACGCTGGTGCACGCCAAGCCGCACTTCGTCCGCTGCGTCAAGGCCAACGGCGCCGAGGAGCCGCTGGCGTTCGAGCGACCCACGGTCATGCGCCAGATCCGCGCCCTGCAGCTGCTCGAGACCGTCAACCTGATGGCGGCCGGTGAGCAGCGGTGGGGGAGGGTTAGAAGCGGGCACCAACCTGATGGCGCCCGGTGAGTAGCGGTGGGGGGATGCTTAGTAGCGGGCACCAACCTGATGGCGGCCGGTGAGTAGCGGTGGGGGGATGATTAGAAGCGAGCACCAACCTGATGGCGGCCGGTGAGTAGCGGTGGGGGGGATGATTAGTAGCGGGCACCAACCTGATGGCGGCCGGTGAGTAGCGGTGGGGGAATGATTAGAAGCGGGCACCAACCTGATGGCGGCCGGTGAGTAGCGGTGGGGGATGATTAGAAGCGGGCACCAACCTGATGGCGGCCGGTGAGCAGTGGTGGGGGGATGATTAGAAGCGGGCACATTCGAAACGTGCTGAAGTGTGACATTCAAGAGAGAAGTGAGATTGGATGTAGCGCGTCTCACGCCTGGAAATTGGTGAGCTATATTGTCCCCATTGATTTTTGACGGTTTTCTGACCTCGATCTTTTCATCTTCTGATGTCGTACATCCGGCCTGATCTGATCTTTTGATTTTGTCTATCTTCGCCGCCAGGCTATCCCCACCGAATGCGCTTCAAGGCGTTCAACACACGCTACCGGCTGTTGGCGCCCTCTAAGCTGTTGCGCCGCACCGAGGAGAAGGCTGTCGAGGACTGTCGTCTCATCCTGGAAAGTTTCCGTGCGACGCTGGCGCCATCTATTGTGCAACAGGAGAACGTCAGCACCGGCTGGGCGCTCGGCAAGCGGCATATCTTCCTCACGTGAGTATATGTGTCCCGTAAAAAACGCCACTGGGGAATTGTGGATTGTTTGATCATTTCAGTTGTCACAAGCTTGCTCCAAAGTGGCATGGACTCCGCTGGTAATCACACTCCTGGTGGCATGCCATCAGTCTGCACCGTCCATGCCCGTTTCATGTGAAGTCACTTTCCGTCCTCGGTGTGCCGTCGCTGCCGGCTGCTCCACTACCGTCGCTGACGTCGCCTCTGCCCGCAGTGAGGGTGCGCGCCAGCAGCTGGAGCAGCTGCGCGAGCAGATCCGGCGTCGCGCCGCCGTGCTCGTGCAGAGCGCGTGGCGCGGCTGGCGCGTGCGCCGCCGTTGGCCGCAGATGCGCCGCAACATGGAGCACCGGCAGCGTAACAAGAGCGGCCCGACCCGGCCGCGGCCGCAGCCGATCGCAGGTCAGTGGCGGCGGCGAACGCGGCGCAGCAGCCGCTTGGACCGGGCGGGACGTACCTTTTTCCGAATGTTGGTACGTAGGTTCCGAATGTTGGTACGTTTTTTTTATTTTTAGGGCCATTGGTGTTGCCGTCTTGAGTTCAAGCAGACGTGCTTCTAAGGATACTGCAGTTTACCGAGCTGTTTCCGCCCTGTTGTCATATCCTTCTGGAGTTAGCGTTCCTCTGATCAGGCCTCATTTGCATCCAGTCTTTTCGCTACGGGCTGACCCGAACTCCATCTTCATGCACGCTGGCATAGCACATGCGCAACGCATGTGAAGCGAATCAAATACAAAATGCCAGATGCGTGAGGATTGTAACGCTGTGCCGTGTGCTGTGACGACTTGTTTGCTTCGTAGTTGATCCTTGAGGTGAGGTTGTGTGCTGCCTAGCGTCAGACGAGGTCTGACCACGACCAGGGTCGTGACTCTGCGTAGGTTACACAACGCGGGCGAGTCCGAGTATCTCGTGGCCGAATATAGATAGCCTTCTTACTTACATTTTTAATCGACAGTGAGAAGAAGAACGTTGATCTACCAGATGAAGCGTTACAAGATGGTGATTGGTCCAACTCGTAACGAAAAAAACTTATTAGACCTTTCTACTTTACATGCTTGTTTCTACATCAACCACTATATACATCTATACACATATGCAATATGCATCTATAATATGCATCTTGTTACCTCTATGCACACCTATATACCTCTATACCCATGTCATTAAATCTTCCATCTATGTATCTATATTAAACTTATCAGGCGAAGATGAGCATGCCGTCTGGACATGATCTGCCTTACCATGATGCTTGGTTGGCTTTATACCGTCTAATCTTACGTGACTCTTGTGAGCCTACATAAACTGACGCGATAGAGCACGAGCGACGGTCTAGCCCGGCTTGACCTGTGGCTTGATCGGACCTGACCCTGGCAGGCACGCCTCCGCCGGACGCGCTGGACCGCTGTGACCAGAAGACGATCCAGCAGACGTGCTCGCTGTTCGGCCTGGACCTGGAGCGGCCACCGCCGCTGCCGCGGGCCCGCTCCTACACTGTGGCCGGCAACAAGAAGATGGGCTATCCGCAGGGGCGCATCATGAAGATGACCTTCCCTGGTAAGTCCAGCGTTGCGGGACGCCACACCGGAAATGGCTTCCTCGTGTGCACGAACACGTGCCGACTGCACATTGCGCTCTTGCATCAGCTGACAGACATTCGGCAGCTCATGCGGCCTGTATGTTTTGATGAATAAGTTAGCGGGTAGCGTCGATTTTACATCTTTCCCGATGTAAATATGTTATAGTTTTCATAGGGAGCTTTAATTTCCAACGTTCGCATGGGGAAAGACGCAATTACAAAACGGATAATAGCCGCCGCGAAGTACTTTCGCAGGTTTCCTTGTCTTTGTTAAGTCTTTGTCTTTGTATTTGCCGCCAGATGTCCCTAGCTATCTAGAGCTGCTCACTAAGCATTACTATCGCTTTTCGACCGAAATCCCTCATTTACCTGTTTGTTCTTATGACACTGAGGGTTATGACCCCGTTACGTCACGATGCGCCGCGCTGATCTGCTGCTGTGACGCCATCGTGACGCCGGTGAATGGCTTCTCGGCAGAGGGCGGCGGCGAGGTGACGCTGCTCAAGGGCGAGAAGGTGGTGGTGGTGGGCGCGGCCACCCGGCGCGGCCACCTGCTGGTGCAACATCCAGCCGGCACCGTGGCTGTGCCTTACCAGTTCATGGAGCTGAAGCCGCTGCCGCTGCCCACCTGACGGACCGCTGGACGCTGTCGACCGCTGCCTCGTGCGGGCGCGCCGGCCGCTACGCACGGCCGGCCGCTGGCAGGCGCTAACGCGTGGTGACGTCACCGTGGCCTCTGACGTCACGACGACCGCCGACCTCTGGGCGTCGCTGGCTCGTGCGGGACCGCTGGTTGTGTTGGCCGGCCCGGCACTCTAAGGGACGGTCAATGTCGCACTGCTGCACTGTCGCACGGCACACTGTCGCGGAAAGGGGGGCGCTGTCTGTTCGGAGCGAGGCGCCGAGAAGAACGGCGCCTGTTATGCGGTGGCTTGGCATGAAGCTTTGGCTGATGTGCTGCGAAATGGTCTCTGCTTTTGCGTCTGGGTCCGATATATTTTATGCACTCTGACAACCTGTGTCACAGGTTAGTGAGTCTTTCGACCCTCTGTCTGCTAACTCTATCGCCAGTCCGATGCGGAACCTTGCCACAAATTTTAACTCAAATATTCTACTATCACGATGTTTTCATTTCATTCCGTGGCGGTTTCTTCTCACAGGACATCGAGCAGTGTGCACGTTGTGAGATGCTGACCGTTCCTTCGAACCTCGCCAATGCTATTCTTCCCCGAAGTGACCGGGCGGTCCCAGGGAGCCGACAATACTCAGTGCAAGGCTCTACCCTAGTGATGACATCCAGCCTCTGGAGGCAGCCGTTGACTGTACAGATTGTAGCCACACTGTGCCAAATCAATAGTTCAACCGCGCCGCGCTCGTAATGACGCCCAGAGTCGGGCCCGCTGAATTCAGTGTGCCCAGCAACGAGCCCAAGTGCCAAGGGGACTGCGCTCGTGGTGCGTTCGACTGCGGCTGGTGCGGCTGGTGCTCTGTGGTGCCGCTGGCACCAGTGGCACCGCTGTGCGCCCATTATCCTCCGGTATATTGTTCCACACTGTGTGCAGGGTGACGCGTGTTTTGTGGCGCGGGCGAGTGTGGACGTGTGTGTGTTATGCGTGTTTGGCGTCAAACACATGTTGCCTGAGGTTTGCTCAACAGTGTAGATGCTTGCTGTAAATATTTTATTATTTTATTGTCTGAGCATTACTAAAGCTTCTCCCACACACTTGACACGTGGTGGGTATGGCATAAAGGTGTAATTGAACCGAACTGATTCCGTCCTGTTACTTGTGCGTGAAAAGAGCAGATCAATCCTGCATGTTTGAAGGCATGGGCAGCCCGAGCCTGAGTAAGAACCACATCGTTCCTTTACGTGTGTCATCTGCAGTAATATGTATTTTCATGTTGTTAATATAGCTGCAGCGATGTTGTACAAAGCTTGTTTACAAGCGAAACGGTAAACTAGTCTACCAACACTTCGCTGAAATATTGGATTACCGTCCAGACTAATTAAATCAAATGACGCACATTCAATTCCAGCATAACGGACGATGCATGAACTGCAGGGCAAGGAACATCGCCGGCCATTGTCTTCATCCGGTCATATTGTGGCACGCAATTTAAACATATATATATATATATATATATATATATATATATATATATATATATATATATTCGCCAGCAGCTATCGCATTGGTGCGATCAGCGCGGGCCTGCAGCTGCGAGCAGAAGCTATTTCTGAGCATGGCGGGAGTTAAATGGCGTAGTATCGGTAGGCCGCGTCGGAGTGAAAAAAAAAACGGGATCATACTTATCCCATGCTGAAGAAAATCCTCCGCAGCTTCGCCGCAGGGAATTGTCCACCATCAAACCACCTAGCTACCATCTTGAATCGCCTTCATTGACCTTGTTGAGGTCGTTCAAGGACGCCGTGCCGCGTGTTGCTGGAATATGGTCTTGTTAGTGCTTGTCAGCATGCAGACGAGATAAAACCCCACAGAGCATTGCAGTCGCAGCAAAAAGCACCAAGCTCTTCTCAAACACCTAGTCTTTACACGGAATCAAGTCCACCTAGCCAGTGGCTTAAACCAATTCTGGCGAAAGGACCATGATAGCTTTTAGATTATCCAAATCCTCTTGTGTTGCGCCTCAGCAATTTGCTTTTGTTCTCTCCTCCACCAGGAGCCGTTTGAGCATTTTTGCCCCGCAACCAATCTGTGCGAGCGAATCATTTACTCGATTGAGCATTTCCGGCCTGCTTTCGACAGCGGCGACTATGGGCGTCGATCGCTCTTCATAACAATCTTGAGTATGATTGAAAGCCCGGTTGATTCGCTTCAAGCTGTTGTTGACACTAATGCTGATGTCTTGCAGCTCTTGCATTGTTTTACTGACATCTTCGTCAACGCTCTCGTCCGGTGATACGTCCTGGTACCTCGCATCCCGGTCACAGTCTCGGTACTTGTCTCGTTCGTAATCCTGACGCTCGTTCTTGTCTCTTCGCCGGTCGCAGGGGTTGCACATGTCTTTTGACTTGGACCGAACAGCGTCCCCAGATCTGTCATTATCACACCAGCTTTTCATAAGGTCTTTATACCGATCCTTTGCGCTCACATTGGGAGGCTCTTCCTTGTCCCTTCCGCATGGAGGCTTTCGCCGAGATCTGCAGTTTTCAGAAGCTGACCTTTTCGGCAGGCGGGATAAAACGGGTGCTATCAAACTTTCGAATTCCTTGCACTTCTTGTAAGGTACGAGGAGTTGCGGCTTCATGTCTTCTTCAAAATCCATGACTTGTGCTAGTACATTAGCGAGCTCTTCATTGACGTTTCTTTCCACCCGACTTAGACCTTTCTCCAACGTACGGAAAGTGGTATCCATTCGGCATTTCACAATTTTCAGAATCTGGTGAAAATCTGGAGACGATCGTCTTTTCCCTTTTTGGTCGCGACGGTCACAGCCTTTGGGAATTCGATTTGTTGATGTATTGCCGTTTCGCCCACTGCACTTCTTTTCACATTTATCGTAACCTTTCCGGCCACATCTTCCTTTGAGTTCTTCCTTATCGTATTTGTTGCCGTTTCTGCAGTCCATCTTTTGTCGCGAGCACGGACCTCTGTCGTATTCAGTCGAGTCGCTAGGGTTTGATGCCGATGTGCGAATTTTACCCCGATCCCTTCCCCGTCTGTTACAATTATCTGGCATGAAGCTTTCGGGAAAAAACCCGAACTTTCATGTTCCTAACCATAAATATAATTGAAAAGATATCTCCATTTTGAACTGTGTATAGTTCGCACTCTAGCACTCGATTTATTGATGAGACGTGAAACACATCGGTTCTCGACTTAATTCGTGACATGCTACATTTAGCGCTTCTTTCAGAAAACGCATTTTGTATTTAGAAGTAGTAATGTTTCTGCGCAACAGGAACAAGTAGCGGTCATTGGGCGCGAGACTTGGCTCAAGACTTATTGTTGACATTTCAAATTTCATATTGAGAGGCAGGGGTGCTAGGATTGACGAGAATATTTTGCAAAAAGCTTTTCGACGGCATCATTTATTTCCAAATTTTAGCTACCTGTATAAAATTTACCGCCAGTCGCTTATTTTTATGTATGATTTGACAAATAATGGGATCAAAGTGTCGACGCGGCGACCCTTCTGACCGCTGGAGCAACGAGTACATTGATCCCGAGACAGGTGAGAGTCGCCATCGACAGCCGAATATGCCCGGATGATCTTTGTTAGAAAGAAAGGGAATTTGACGTAATGTGTCTTTTCCGCAATCTTCAAAAAACCGTGTTCAATCGTTCATGATCTCTGAAGGATGTACGGGGTTCAGGACAGCAGAGATTTTTGCCATAACTCAACGATATGGCAACTTATCTTTTGAAATACTTGTGACTAAGGTGCAACAGACCATTCAGCTGCTCAGTTCGTCCATACATGCACAGCCTGAAATAATGAGATTTAGATGTGTGATGCATAATAGGTAATCAGTTCTGAACAACAGCATGCATAGCACACATCTCGTACATGGCTCATAATTGCGTCAACCAAATACACTTACCTTACGGTCAGCCATTCATACTTTATTTTGCTTTGAACTGAAAGCGCCGCGATTGGCGTAGCGAATGTTGAAGATACGCATGTTATATTGCGTAGCCTCCGCACCCTCATCATGCACTGTTTCTCCAGCAATCCTAAGTGCTATACCCCGCAGATATGCTAACACACGGTGCTGTAGCTGATAAAGAGTAGTCTAATGGCAAAAAACCGATGTTTCTAAGAAATATGGGCCTCTAGTTTCAGCTTATCAATTCTGTCCTATCACCACAAATGGCTGACTTCTAACCAGTTTTGTAATGTTAACAATCACTGTGAATAGAATTGTGATAGATCACAGATCTATGCGCTGTGGGAATAAATAAGAAACGATCTCATCGAAGCAGAATCCCCTAAAATACCTTAGTCCAACTGATCTCCTGAGGCCTTCATGAATACTGATGAAACGATGGCATCTCGAGGAAAGAAATTAATCTTGACAATGCTAAAATACAGATAATTATTCCAATAAAAGGACATGCTCCCTCAGAATGAATGAACAACCCCGGATATCGAGGGGTGTTGACGGTGTTTCATCCCGAGTTGGCCAATCCAGAATTTCCCATTGATGGATAGCATGTGCCACCGTGTGTATGTTGCCATGACAACAGTGTTGTTATCGATGGGATGTTTCGCGATCATGGCTTTCTCTGAGTAGGACACCCGCTTATGAGCACCGCAGGCATCCAGTATATTTTCATTCGAATGGTATCAGACTTTTTTTGGGTAAAGCAGCGGTTCATTCAGATCACTGCTTATAGAATGGCGTCGTAAAACCGTGCTGCCACCTTTGGATCTTTGGACCACTGAAGAATGTTGGCAAAGATGAGGCTGATCTGCTCTCCTTCGCGATGATTCAGTCTTGGCTCTTGTTCAACAGGTGAATTGGTACGTGAAGAGTACGATCGTCGTGTTGAGGACGTTGGCGGTGAGAAATACGAGTACGAGAGAGCCATCGTCACCCGAGAGCAGGCCGAAGAGGCCATGAGCTCTCGCCGGCGAGGCGGCGGTCGGGGGCTGCGGCAAGGCGCGCGATCCATGCTCCCGCGGCGGCGGCGGCTGCTCTCGAAGCCGCATGCAAGATGACATGGACTGCGGCGGCGGCGGCGGTCGGAACTTCCGCAGCATGGCGCCTCCGTCGAGGCCCCCCTACCGGGACCCGTGCCGCAAGGACGATGACCCACCCAACCCAAACACAGACGAGCAGCTGGCAAAGGTGGAGGAGAAGTTCAGCAACCTGGAGAAGCAGCTGAAGGAGTCGTGCGACAACCTCAACAGCGGGCTTTGTAAGGTGCAGCAGTGCATGAGCGACGGCTTCTCCCAAGTGAACGGCAAGATGAAGGAGATTGAAAAGAGCACAGACAAGACATTGCAAGCCATTGACGATCAGATTCGCACGGCAGAGGAAGAGCTGAATAAGAGCCTACGCGTATTAAGCAATGACATCGCTGAAACCCAAGAAACCTTTTGCCGAAACCTCGACAAGGCCAAGAGAGATGTGGACAAAATGGAGAAGTTCTTCAAGCGTGAAATATGCGAGACGATTAGGGATCTCAAGACAAGTAGCTGTTAAAGAATGTAAGTGGTTTTGTTCAGCGTTTCTGTCAGCATAACCGTTCTTGATCGTACTTCAAATTTTGGTAAGTGGCTCTTGCAATGACCGCTATTGGAACTCCGACAGAGGAATCATCTGATCAATAAAAGTTTTAGCAGAACCCAGTTTGCAAGCATTTTTCAAACTACTTATCTCGGGATAGCTTCCAAGAAATAAAATAACATGCAGACTAAGCACAAGCCACTACGTCCAAGCACCAGCTATTAAGCAGTCTTTCTGAACGCCCCACATACGAACAGACCCCGAAAAGCGGAATGGTATCAATTTATTTCGTCTTTTTGTACAGCCATGGCCAACGATGTGTGCAATGAACCCCCGTTGGATTGAACACTAGGGAGACCTCTTATCTTCCTTAAATAGGGATTTCGTGATTCGACCATTGAGGGACCTATCACATTTCTCGGGGCTGAAGAGTCATTACGGTGATAGGTAACGCAGAAGCCTGGCGCTTCCGGTCGATACGGAATGACGGAAAGGATCTTAGAAATAGTTACTTCGTTACCAGAAAGACCTACTTCCATATCAGCAACCTATCTTGATTGCATCTGTTCTCTGTATGGCACCAGAAAGACCGACGGGAGCAGCTGACCTCTGACTGACACGCCTCACTGACTCAATAGGCTTCTCTGGCGGAAGAGGAGCACGCTCACTTTTGACACGGGGCCACAAGTTCGGCTTCTAGGGCCCGTGACCGAGACGGGATGGCGGATCCTGTTTGGAACTTGACCACATGACACATACAGGAACCCCTTGTCGACACATGATAGCTCATTAGCCTTCTCCCGGCCGGGGGTCTGCGGCAACGCGCCTGACCAGGGAAAGTTGACTTCATTAGGGATCTCCACCTTCCAGACGCCGCATAAGAAAAAACGACACATTGTGAAGGTCCCGTCAAGTCATAATGAATGTAGGCCGATTTTTTTACATTAAGTCGAATTTGCGGTCGCCAGAGGTCACGAAATGTTACAAATTATCGCTCTCATAGATGCAGCTAAGACCTATATTAACACACGCCCGGTGGCCGGCTAGACACCCTTCGCTCGGATGGGGGGGGGGGGGGGGGCAATTTGCCCCACGCCTGAGATCTCGGCAACTAAGAAAGCTAAAGGCACCAAATTTGCAGGGTGTGTTGACCTGTATGTGACCCCACTTAGATCAAAGTTTCAGATTCCTAGGTCATGATCTTTGCTTCAAAAAGGTCAAACAAATTCAAGTTCCAGGCTGGTCCTCAAAGTGCCACCAGAAGCTAGAGAGCCGTTTTAAAGGCAAAAGATCACATTCTCATGCAAGGTCAGTGACATTGTTTGACTTTTTGAAGGTTAGGGTGACCAAATTAATACAAGATTGCTTTGAGTTGTGCATTTGACTAAGCGACAAATATTTCGTTAGGCAGTACGTTTCTAAAACAAAATGTTGACTTGGGTCATTTTAGGTCAATGACCTATTCTGATCTCTAAGAAGTCCATGGATGATGTATAATGCGGTTCCTAATATCAATATATTCGAAATGAGCACCAGAAACCATGCCATAT